TGAATATGACCGTATTTGGAAAAGGGGGCATTGCGGATGTCACTAAGTTAAGGGGCATTGTGAATGTCACCAAGTAAAGGACCTCCAGATGAGATCGTGCTAGATGAGGCAGGTGGGCCCTAAGTCCAATGATAAGTGTCCGCATAGACACAGAAGACACAGGTGCAGAGGAAAGCGGAAAAGGTCATTAGAAGACCCAGGGAGAGACTGGTGGGATTTAGCCGCCAACCAAGGAACACTCCAGAAGCGGGAACAGGAAGAGAAGATTCTCCCCCTAAAAATTTTGGAAGGACTGGGTCCCTAGAGACAGCTTGATTTTGGACTTCTGGCCTCCAGAATTAGGGAATACGTTTCTGTCATTTGAGGCCACTGTGTTTGTGGTAGTTTGCTATGATAGCCCTGAGAAAACTCTAGGGGTGCTAGCACTTCCGGGTCAAGGATGGAGCGTGCTTTGGTGCTGACTGCACCTCCTCTGGGCCCAGCACCGTGCCACACAGCACAGGTACAGGTGGAGCAGCACGGTGCCAAGTGCCCTGCACAGAGCCTCTCGGTGCCCCCACCCTGCCAGCAGGGACTGGTGTCAGTGGGCTCCATTTACTGGGGCCCGACAGTCTGCATGACTTCCCCGCAGTCTCAGGCTGGGGGTACAGACAGGACTGACACTGAGGTCGCCTGCCTCCCTGTCTAGTACCCTTTTTGTCCCAGCATGCAGCATGTTGCCTTCTAGCCAATGTCCTTGGCAGAAACGAAGGGTAAAATGAGTAGAAATAATCCACTTTGATGGTTGTTCTAGTGGAAGGATAACTGGGATCAAGGAACAAAAACAGAAGAGCATTTCGGCCCACTTGGAGATTTCAGTCACCTACCGCCTCTTGATCACTCACTGACAAAGACAACAACTGTCTATGACATCTGATGAGACATGAAGCCACAAGAAAAACCGAGTTCCTAGAACTAATCCCACTCTTAATTTGGTTTCATACTGCTAAATTGGGCGGGGTCCCTGGGGGAAGAAACCCGAAACCACATTGTCCTATTCTCGTCCTAAGAATTCTCTCATTGATAGCTGAATTATGGTAAGTGGCTGGGTTCCATCTGAGCCCCATGGTAGGAGTCCAAGCACATGCTCCACAATTGTGCTTTTCGAGTACACAGCCAGAAATGAAGGCAGAGAAAGAGAAAGAAAGCAAGGTGGGAAACAGAAGCAGGAAAGAAAAGAAACAGGTCAAAGGGAAAGGAAGGGGGCGGGCAGCAGGTGGGGCTGTGGTTAAGGCTTTGGACTCCCACTGGGTCAGCCACAGTTTGAGTCCTGGACCTGGCAGCTTGAAAATCACACCAGGTGTGTGTTCATGCATGCCCAAAATCCTGAGAGAAGAATGAGTGAGAGGGGACTGCAGTGTGGCCTTCCCCCCGGAGGGTGATTTCTCACTTTCTCTCTCTGTCTTTCTCCAGAGAGCACAAACACCCTATGGCAAAAATAAGTAAAATAATGTAAAAATTAAGGGGAGGGTGGGGGCGTTAGCTTGCTGGTTGCACTGACCCTCCATTCTTCTCTTCCACAACTTTCCCCATATCCCTCCTTCTTTTCTGACTGACGTGGGTTTGCTGTGAGGAAGAATGCAAGACGCAAGATGGGAACACTGTCAAGTGTTCTGAGATGTAATATTCCTAAGACAATGACTAACAGCAGCTCTGTGTCGGTGAGAAGCAGCCAAGCCAAAGAGTAAACCCTGCTGAGAGACAAAGATAAATCAGCGAAACTCAAAGCTTCATAATCCGCCAGCCTGCCGCCCCTGCCTCAATACCCAGGACACAAGAGGCAGAAGCAGAAACCAGGCGCTTCTAAACTGGCCCTGAACTGTGGGCTTGCCTCATTTATAAAGAAGTATGACAAATCAAGAAGAAGTCCAAGATCCAGGGGAGTTGGGATGCAGGGCATAAATGGGTGGTTTGCAGGTGTTACGGTCTGAATGTGTTACTGTTTTCTGCTATTATTTCTGTTATGCCAGAAGGCATGTTTAGGTGCATGAGAGAGAGAGGGAGAGAAGGGAAGAAAGCATCCTGCAGGAGGACCCAGTCATGCCTCAATCCATTTTTCCTCTGATTCTCCACTGTGTTAGAATCCTGGGCATGTGTTTCTCAAGTCACTGGAGCTGGGACTCAAATCCTGGCCAACCATATGGGATCCTAACCACTGTGGTGGCCAGCCACCAAAAACTCATATGCTGACGCTCAAACCCACAGCATGATGGTATGTGGAGATGGAGCCTTTGGGAAGTAAGAGAGTGGGCCTCCATGATGAGATGAGTACCCTTAAAGGAGAGAAAGAGACTGGAGTGCATGTTCTCTCAGTACTCCCCCCGCCTTCCCCCAATCCCATCCTCTGGGAAGGCCTGGGGAGAGGGCATGCTATCCACTCCCATCCATTCATCCAGTCATGTGCTCATCCATTCATTCATCCAGCTTCCTTCCATTGCAAGCTGCCCTGTACCAGGCGTCACGTATGGTGAGAGGGCGGGTATAAAGATGGCAAGGACAATCCCTGCCTTCAAGAAGCTTCCCATCCAGCAAGAGAGAGCATACCCAGGTCATGCCTGGTGTTCATTAACAGAGAAGATGGCCCCTTTCTCTTCTAAGCTGCTAGGCCCCTCCTGTGCTCTCATTGGCAGCTGACAGATTGCCTTGCAGTAATAACGATGCCCACTTAAAGGCTAGCCCCCCTCTATTCTTCCTCCCTGCTCTGGGTCATCTTTTCACTTTAGATAAGGGGGATCTTAAAGAAGAAAAAGCACCCCCTTTTCTGCATCTTGCTTCTTAGCTATCCTTCTTGATGGGCTTCTCTTTACTCTAACCAACACTATTTCTCCAACTCACCATGCTCCTCATGGTGGCTGCAGGGACACTGCCCATCTTGCCCTGGGCTGCCCACCCTCTTGGCATCATGCAGGCCGGTCTTCTCCCAGTGCGCCTTGGCTCCCACCCCCCACCTGCCTCCTGCTCCCTCCCCGTTTGGCTCAGTGGGCACTGTGGTCTATGGTGGTCTCTGCCCGCTGACCTCTTACACTGTGCTCTTCCTCCAGCACAGTTGGTTCACTTCCCGAACTCTGACCTGGGAACCAAAGCTTGACTAGAAAATCGTTCCCTTTGGGGCCGGCAGATGGTGTAGTGGTTAAGGGTGCTAGACGCCCACATGGCTGACCACGGTTCAAATCCTGGACCTGGTCCCTTGTTTTCTCGCTCCCCACCCCCCCCACTCTGTCCTTCTCTGGTAGAATTAAAATAAATAAAGTTAAATAAAATGATTCTTTAAAAAAAAGAGAAACTCGTTCCACACCAAACCGAGGGCAGGAATGAGCAGCAGAAAGCGGTGTGGCCTCATCGCCCATTCACGCCCACCACTGCTCTGGTCTGAGCACCTGGCTGCCCCTTGGGTGGCACATCAGCAGCTAGCGACAGCTGGCATCCAGACCTACTAGCAAATGCTTCCCAGATGGCACCCATAACAACCATCATTCATTTGGTACAAAACACGGGCCAAAGAGCTAATTGCTTTCTATATATTATCCAATTTATTCCCCAAAACAGCCACGTGAAGAAGCTTCTATCAACCTCGCTTCACAGATGGAAAACAGACTTAAAGAGGGCAGGTCGCAGTTTGAAAAAATGTCATACCGACTCATGAACACCCAGGACACCTCCTGTGTATATTTCCAGCGATGTCTGGGGGCACATTCGGAGGGTTAAGATTTCATGTGAACAGAAGGTCTCTGAAATTAGAGTGACTCATTTTACTAATTTATTTTTTTAATTGCCAGAAAGTGTATATACTCTTCAGAAAGAGAGATAAAAGAGACAGACAGAGAGAAAGCAACTCCCCTCCATGGCGCATGGCCATGCCATAATCCCTTCACCCTGTCAGGATTTGGGGCATGCACAACAGGTGCCCAGTATGTTTCTCAAGCCACCATGACTGGGATTTGAGCCACAGTTTGTTATGTGGGATCCAGCTCTCCTAACCACTAGGTCTAGAGTCCCCAACCACAGGGGCATGGACTGGTGCCTGTTAGCCCCAACCCCACCCTGGCCTAGCAGCCAGGAGGAGAGGCAGCATGCGAGACTTTGTGTTTGCAGTCACTCCCCATTGTTCGTGTGGGCAGTCAGATAAGCAGTGGTACTGGATTCTCATGAGAGCCCGAATCCTATGGTTGTGTGATTCTTTCACTGGATGTTGCAGTGTGGCAGTGGTGGAAATGGGGTGTGTAGTGGATGTGGTGCACTTGGGTCATCCTAGGACCCTCACCTCATCCCCCTGGTCCATGGAGGGACTGTCTTCCATGAGGCTGATCCTTGGTGCTGGGAAGACTAGGGACCACTGAACTACACCACAGAGCCAGCCCAGAGCGATTATTTTTAAACAGCCTTGTTCCCACACACTAGCAGGAAT